CTGGTCAGCCAGGAGAGTAAGGTACCCCACCTGTGCCACCTCACCAGACACTATTGCTCCTCCTACTGATGAATTCTTCATGGTAAGAGAGTATATTAGTGTTTTGAAAAAGGACACCATGAATGCTTTGATAGAAGTCCACGTATAGGTGAAAATCTGAAAGCGTTTGCAAGCTTTATGTATGTAGACTGAGGTCTAGTATTCAGCCACAATGGGAGTCTTGAACTGCGGCAATTAAGATGGCTAATCAACATTGAAATCCATAGAATTTTTCAGTTCTTGAGTAATATCAACATGCAATTATATCACTTATCCATCTTGAGATTAATAATCAGAGGAGGAAAAGTCAACCATTATCCCACGATTTCCATCCTTGCAAGAATGCAGGGAATTATGTCATCATCGCTCACTAGTAATCCATTGGCTTAGTCTTGGCATTTTATACTTTCCTAAGAAACAAGACTACTTTCTTCTTCTTCAACAACAAAATGAAACATCTGTAGCATAAAGAAAGCCAAAAGTGTCCCCACAGCTGGCCCCATAGCCTCAGGGATGCTTTCAAGGAAGCACTGGAAGTTTGCACAAAGACTTTTAATAGCTATTACGGTTTTGGAAAAATGCTCTGTCGAGCTCTGCATTTTGAAACATTTTATTACAAAGGTCACTAATATGTATTCTAACTCTCTTTATAGGAACCAAAGGGTAATTCTAAGGGATAATTTATTTAACCAATTTTATTAGCTGAAGTTCTGACATATAAAAAGAACAACCAATCATCTCCAACATACCCACAAATGTGTTAGAAATTGCACCACAGAAGGTTTTAGTAAATTTATTCAAATCTACCCAAGTAGTAGTAATAGTGGTAGTAGTAGTAAAAATTATTATTATTTATTTATACCCCGCCCATCTGGCTGGGTTTCCCCAGTCACTCTGGACAGCTCCCAACAGAATATATAAAAAAGCGACACAACATTAAAAGCTTCCCTAAACAGGGCTGCCTTCAGATGTCTTCTAAAAGTCAGTTGTTTATTTCCTTGACATCTGATGGGAGGGTGTTCCAGAGGGCAGGCGCCACTACCGAGAAGGCCCTCTGACTGGCTTCCTGTAGCTTTACTTCTCGCAGTACAAATCTGAGGCCCAAGCTTTAAGGATTTGTAGGGATTTTCAGTGGGTGGGAATTTTCAAAGGCATTCATCAGAGGCCTAATCCCACGCAGCATGAGAATGAAAAGTAAAGGAGCTACACAACGTGTTGCAAATAGTAAAGATGGGCAAGAGGCAAGAAGCAGCAAGATCTACTGAAATCTCAGCTGGGGCTATATACTAATTATTTGGAACCAATCAGGCTCTGGGTGATTTGTCACCCAGCATCAGAGGTTAGGCAAAATCCACAGCTTGTCTGCCCTTACAGATTGGTCAACTGCGTATACCTTCTTTCAGCATTTCTCAGACCTATTTTCAAAACTCTCTTTCCAAAGGTTATATACATCAAGATATCAAAGGTCCTGATAAACATCTTACCGCTGGTTGCCTGTTAGAGGCTGAGGATAGGCAGCTGCTTGCTGATGAATGTACCCACTCGGCAGTTGTTGTGTCTGCCGTAGCCTTTCCATCAGAGCAGGGTTCAAATGAGCTGCTTGATAGGCCCTGGAGTTGTAGGTAGGCGAAAGGACGAGGCCTCCGGCCTGCTGTGATTGCAATGGCATCTGAGTGCTATACATTGTGTAGCCATGAGGAATAGTCTGCACACAAAAAACAGGCCAAGGCACAAGTTGCTTTGATTTCGATGCTTCTAAAGAAAGCTTGCCATTATCACTATTTATTTATTTTTTAAACAAACAAACAAGCAACACACCAGGATGACAAGGAATGTATATTGTGCTGTTACTTGAAACAGCAACCAGACACTTTAAAAAAATCCCCATAGTTTAATTATGCTTACTTTGAATTTGCTAGGTTCAAATGGCAGCCATACATGTTTGCGGGTTTCGTATTATTCTACCTTTTCAACACAGCAAAAGCTGGGCAATATATGATAAATGAAACTTCCAAGCTGCTGCTTTTATGCAGAGCGGTTTTCCACACAGAGGATGGTCTGGCATGATTGTGGCAGCACCATTCCAGCTGCTTCACTTCTGCATAAATCACAGCTTTCGTGTAAAAGCATAAATTCATGCAAATAATATCTTCTGGCCACAAGGACATGGGGGTAAGGGCACGGGTTTCCCATCTTCTTGCATGCAAAATGCCATCAGTTCTGACTAGCCCATATTTACTAAACTTATGAATGTCGGATTTTAGAATTGTGAAAGCTTCTTTTATTCAGGGTTATAAAGGGAGAGTCATGAAAGATCCCGGCCGTTTTAAAAACCCCTCATAAAACCTGCAGGGTCGTATGCAATCACGTTCTACTCAAGAGTTGACCCACACTGAAATTAGTAGACCTAGTTTAGTCATGCCCATAAATTTCAGTGGGTCTACTCTGAGTACAACGAACACTGAACACGACTGGATCTCAGTGTAAGGCATAGGCAAGGCCTTAGCACATCCTTTCCCTACACAGACCAATTATTACTTACCTGTGTCTGCTGTATCCCTGGATATTGCGGAAGCTGAGAAGCTGGCCGGATTTGTTGAGCAAAAAGAGCAGCCTGGTCGATAGTCGGACCCTGCAAAAAAATAAAAATTACAAATTAAAAAAATATATATTACTTATTGTAAATTTAAAGATTACATGTTTAGGGACACCAGTGCGAACAGTTCAGGCATTCAATGCATTTTAAAATACAACCGAAGAACAGAAGTTGGTATGTTTCCAATATTTTTCTTTCAGAAGGCAAGTGATGCCAAGTTATACATTATGTACATAGCTGAATTTCTTAACTGCATGTTTTTTAAAAAAGGAATTGGATGTCTCTTTGACCTTTTCTTCTTTCAACCCAGTTACTGAGGTGCTTTCATGCTTTCCCCCTGTAACATTTCCCTGGAGTGTTTAATCTCGGCAAAACAGCTACTCAGCCTGGTTGAATGACATTGGGCATGGCTGAGGTGGGGTGAAGAAGAAGCTTGCAAGTCCTAGCCCTGCTGACACTTCCAAACATCTTCCATCAGGAAGCAGGAAGAAGCAAGGTGTCCTCAGAGGACGAGAGCAGTCCCTACGGAGCTCAGAAGGAATGACACAAGTGAGATGCAACACAAAAACACACATCAGCAGTGCGGAGAGAACTGGCTGAGGAAACACGCTGCTGACCCTTCGGTCGTTTTTATTTGATTTGATCCTGGGGATTTGAAGCTGAGGTGGTGATTTTAGGAAAGTGTGTGAGAGAAAAGACAAAAGATACTGAGAGGGCAAGTCAAAAAGATCCCAAGAAAAAATGAGAGCAATATTAAGGGAGTCCCGCTCCACCTTGAAATCCTGAGTAACTAACCCTAAATAGTATAGATTAAGAGGAGTATCTGGCAAGAAAAACTGCCACCAGTGGCAGGCGTATTTTGAAAACACACAAGAGCCAGTGAGAACAGAGGAGCAGTGCCACCTAGTGGCAGGAGGGGAAATAACTTCATGTGGGTTTGGATTTTTATGTTCACGTCTTCCCTCTATGGATTTGTGGGCCATGTACCATTAGTTGCAAGAGTTTGGCTTCTTTGCCATGGTATTTTTTTTTAATTACATCAATTTACTAACTTGGAGCCAGAAGATCTGATGTTACCAGAGTGAACTGTCCAAGAACACAGATGCAAGCAGGGAGAAGGAAGATCCTCTAGTGCAGTACACAAACCCCTGGACACGAGTAGGACTGTCAGGAGCCATGCTGAGCCTCTAGAGCTACAAAAGTGATTCCCTGCCCTCACCTTGGACCTGATTCTGAGCAAGAGGAGCAACTACAGCAGTTGCAGACCTCAGAACTCTCCGAGGTGGCGGTGGAAGGCACAGTGTACAGAACGATTCCTGCCACTCTCCAGAGAGGGAAGAGACATGTGGTTGTGGAAAGTGACTTCCTACAGGGAGGAAGTGATCAATAAAGTGAGCGTACAGGGAGCCTTGGGCGGAAGTGGTCATGGCCTCTTGGCTTTCATTATACCCAGGCAAGGGAAAGCTGAGTATACTTGGCCATGCACTCTAGACTTGAAGTAGGTTGATTTCAAAAAGCTTAAGGGACTACTGGGTGAAGGAAGACCCATGCTCAGAAATACTAAAAAAAAAAAGGGGTTCAAGGTAGATGGGAATTTCTTAGAGGAGAAATATTGAAGACACAGATGCAGGCAATTCCAACAAGTGAATCAATGGATTTAAGTTACAAGGAAGGAGATTCCAATTAAACATCAGGAAGGAATTTCTGACAGTAAGAGCTGCTAGACAGTGAAACTGACTCCCTTGGAAGGAGGTGGTCTCGCCTTCATTGGAGATTTTTAAGCAGAGGTTGGCTGGTCATCTGCCATCGATGTTTTAGTTGAAAGGTCTATACAGCAGGGAACTGGACTACATGGCCCCTGGGGTCCCTTCCTACTCTAAAATTCTAAGATTCTAGAAAAATTAATCCACACATTTTATAAACAAAAAAGAAATGTGATGCAATGTCCAGCAGACAAATATTAGGAAAAGGGGACTTAGACATTGATGTATGTGGTCTCATAAGCAAACACAAAACCCACAGTCAGGCAAAAGGTATATAAATAAACAAATAAGACTACCTTAGCAAAAAAATAGATTGCAGCAGGGTTTTCAAACATTTGGAATGAGAGTCCTTTCTAAGGGGCTCTTAATCTACCTTCCAGCGAGCGGCAAACTTGCATAGCAGGCAGAGCAGAAACTCCTTGCTAATATGTCAGTTTTTTGGGGGGTGCAGTTGCAGGGAGAATTGCAGGGAATATATTGCTTAGGGAATGAAATAGGCACCCCAATCCACAGAGTGAAATGTTACAGCTCACACTACCAGCTCAGGATTCTACGATTTTGTTGCATGTTGTGCATGAAACCTAACTTGGGTTCTGGGTATGGTTTTATGTGCCTACAATCCTAAATCAAGTAGAGGCTCGACTGGATCAGCACATTCATAAAATGTAAGACAAAGAAAGCAGCTGCTGAGGCCTTGCCTGGGCTTGCTGCCTTAGAAGCCGCTGCTGCTGTTGCTGCTGCTGCTGTTGTTGCTGCTGCTGCTGAAGTAGCTTCATCTGGAGCAGTTGTTGCTGCTGCTGCTGCTGCTGCTGCTGCTGCTGCTGCTGCTGCTGTGAAGCAATTGCATGAATTGACGGTGGCTGCATCATGGTACCAGAACGCCTCTGCAGCATGTTAGACAGCACTTGTTTTGTGTTGCTTGGGACAAAGGAGTTGGGAGGGTCCAATCTGGAGCCACCTGTGAATGCAATGGGATAGATGATAGATGATAGATAGATAGATGGATAGATAATAGATAGAGGGTGGATCTACACACAGGAAGAAAACGCTATAAATAAGTCAGAAATTAAATCGTTATAACAAAAAGGGAAAAAACGCTATGTAAAAATCACATTAAAAATTTCTTTGCTCTCTGGGGCCATCTGGTGTTACATGTTTATAATGAATTCAAAACATTTTTTTTGACTAATGTAGCTGAGTTCATAGATAGATAGATAGATAGATAGATAGATAGATAGATATGAGGTGGGGGTTGTTTGCAATCCTAATGACTATATATTGCATAATAATATTTTTTTTCCTTGTGTACTTTGCCAAAGTGCAGAAATACGTAGCCTTTAAAACCTAGGTTTCACTTTGCTTCCCCTTAGAGTATGTGAAACAAGATTTGTAAACAACAACAACAACAAAAATTACTGTTGTTATCCAAAAGACACACTAGAGGGTAAAATGACTTTTAACTACTAATTCTATAGCATCCAAATGCTTAGAGCTCCGTCATCCTACCAAGCCATTTAAACCTTGCTTGCAATGGAAGGTGAGCTTTTTTAAATATCAAAGTAAAAACAAACAAAAAAACTGAAGTTGAGCCGCTTTTAACCATAATTAACAACAGTTAACTGTTGTTTTCTGTTTCTTTCTGCCTTTTGCATAACTATGACTGCCTTCTGAAGATAGCAGAATTGGGGGGAAAGAACTAAAAAATAATATTGCTTCTGTATGATACAGTAAGCTTCTGGTGCCCGTTACAAAGCAGAGACCTACCTGGTGGAAGAGGCTGGTTCTGGACGAAGAAAGCAGCTTGCTGGGGCTGCCCCATAACATTATAGCCCCACAAAGCAGACTGGGGGTGGTGCATCATTTGAGATGGAAGTGGTGAATAGTTGGGAGGGACTCTATATACATTGTTCTGAGGGTAATCCTTAAGCGAAACAGGAAAAGTTAAACGTTATTTGCATCCATACCGTATTAATTCATAAACAATGCCAATTTTCCTACTGAACTATTAAAGAATTTATGACAAGTCCTTTTGTGGTTTACAATACAAAACCGATTCAGTCATAGACCCGGCAGAGATAAACTAAATATGACATCTTCTTGGCTGTCCGACAGTGCTTCATTTTATACTTTTTCTGCATGCTATACAACATGTCAGGTCATAATGTTATCAAAGCCCTGCTGTGTGGGCAACTTAATGACAAATTCACACTGCGCATTCAAGCTTCAGAGAATGAAATTATGGGGAAGAAATTAAGTTAGCTGTCCTAAGGAATCTCTCATGCTAAGGATTATTCCACCATATATCTAAGTACATGAAGCGGTTTCAAAATTTTCTATCTTCAGGAAATACTTTTTGCTTTCGCTCGTCTGCCATATGATCCCTCTGTATCACCAGGGGCATGTTCTAAGGTGGACTTAATCAACACAAAAGGCAGATACAGTGGTATCTCAGGTTACAGATGCTTCAGATTACAGACGCTTCAGGTTACAGACTCCGCTAACCCAGAAATAGTACCTCGGGTTAAGAACTTTGCTTCAGGATGAGAACAGAAATCGTGCTCTAGTGGCGGGGCGGTAGCGGGAGGCCTCATTAGCTAAAGTGGTCTTCAGGTTAAGAACAGTTTCAGGTTAAAAACGGACCTCCGGAACGAATTAAGTTCTTAACCTGAGGTACCACTGTACTAACAAACACCTTCCACTGGGGGGGGGGGGAGCTGTTCCTGCCTCTCCTAAGTAGCAATAGGAGTCAACCCCAAGTCTGGATGCCCCCTTCCCACTCAAGAGATAAAATTTCCATTTCACGCTGCAAGTTTTAATCGCTTACATCAGGTTTGGAAGTTGGTTTTGTCTTTCGCTTCTTGCCTTTTGCCTTCTTCTCTTCATCTGCTAAAGGTTTGCCCTGATCTGACAGCTCTGCTGACTTCCTTTCCGGTTCCTGAGACGCAGGGGTAGATGGCTCTTCCTCCTCCTCCTCTTCTTCAGGAGGGAGAGGTAAAGGCTCGAGGTAGTAACTTCGGGGCTTGGGTTTAGAGTGGGCGTGGTAGAGGAGAAGGTGCTGCTGCTCCTCGTATTTTATTACTTTCCTGTCGATACGGACAGTTCCAAACCAAGCCCAGGATAGCGGAGCAGGATTTCTATTGCCCTCAAATAAATCCCACGGGGATACTTTCTGCTTAGTTGAGACTTGAAGCCCCTGTTTGAAAATGTAAAGGGATAGTTTTTATTTGTCATTTCTTACCTAAACTTCATGTAGCCTAAAATAAAGTTGCAGCACACACGGTAATGTGAACTATTGAAAGTTATGCACAGAACAGTCAAAAGAACATTATGGTTTATCAGTAATGTAAAATAAAGATGTCACCTGTTTTAAATGTCAATCATACCTCAATAGATTTTATGCTTTTGTTGCTGTTAAATGCTTTGATTTTTTTATGATATAGCGGTATACTGTACAAATATTTTTATAAATAAAATAAAACTCTCCAGAATTAAAAACTAGATGAAATAGTTGTTCTAGTACGTTATTCAAGGCATTCCAAAAAATCTATGCCATGCAGCACAATCTTTTAGAAATAAAACTCATATATTCTATCTGACTTCCCCTTATAATGTTTACAGTGTTCACCTAAATCACAAATGTTTGATGCCCCTGGTTTACTCCTCTCTAAATATCGCATAAGCAAAGAGTGAAATGTCTGCAGCAAATGCTAATTAGAAAGTTTAATCATATTTGGGGCGTTGACCATATCTCTCATCTTAAAAAAACCAACCCCAGCCTTGTCAGTCTCACAATCCCACAACATATTCCAAATAAAATTAAAATGGCTGAATGTGATTAACATCCAGTTAAGACTCAAACCTGATGCAGCACCTGCTGTCTTGAGCTCTTGTGATGGGCAGCTTGACCACTGCAATTTGCCACTAGCTGGCAGTATTGTCTGCATTTAGTTTGTGGTTTTAGAATCTGTCATGCAAAAGTGGCTTTAAATTATTTCAGACAACAGACAGAGTGAGCTCTTCCTGCAGCCAAGCTGGTGCCAAACATATTGCTCTGCTTTCCTTTGGACTACACCAGAGAGGCCAAGAGGGTGGGGTGTTGTTGCCTGGGCAGCCCAGGACCTCAAGCACCCGGGGCAGCGCAGTCCGTATGGAGTGCACATGTGCGGCATCCCGTGCACGCACACACTCTGTACAGAATGCCACACATGCGCAGTCCGTATGGGCTGCCACTTGCGAGCAGCATCCTGTACGGAGTGCGCATGTGCAGCCTGCCGTACGGACACCATGCAAACGGCATCCCGTATGGACTGCACATGCGCGGTGACCGTACGGGCTGCCGCACATGCGCAGTCCATATGGGCTGCCGCTTGTATGGACGGCGTGCGAGAGCAGCAGCCCATACAGACTGCGCGTGCCCTCAGCCGCTCTACAGCTGGGGGGAGGCAGCGGCCATCTTGTCTCACCCCTCGTGGCACCCGGGGCGGCCCGCCCCCTCCACACACCCCTTCCTACGCCCCTGTATACACTGCCAGGCTTGTGCCCCAGGGAGGTAGCACAGTGGTTTGATTTCACCCCCGGTGGTGTACTTCCTTATTTCTTGAGACAGACAGATGCCAACAACCCTCTTAGACTGCATTCCTAACCCCTCTTATCTGGGAGCAACCCCTATTTAATTCAGTAGGCTTTCCATCCAAATAGAATTGGTTAAGATTTGCCTTTGAGCATAGAAGATTCACAATCTACTCAGCTACAGATAAGTAAAGCCCCGGTCCAAATCTTGCCTCTAACATGGATTCACTTGGTGGCCTTCATAAGTCACTCTATCAGCTTCACTCTTCCCATCTATATTAGAGGGGCTGATAATATTAAGGCATGCTTTAGCGTTCTTCTAAGAATTTCTAACTAGGTAATGCATGCAGAGTTCTCTGAATATTTGGAAACACTATGCATTTTTACAAGTATTATTATTAAGTGGAATGTTGCCTAATAGAAAGGCAGAGAATTGTTTCTTTGCTTTGCAGAATATGGTAGAAGCTGTAATAACAACATAACAGAAAAACATTCACAGCCTTCTGTGAATAAATGAGTTGAATGGATCTGATTAAAGGGCCACCAAGTTATCTTTTGGCTGTCACATGCATGAGAAAGTTGGCACGCCTTAAAAGTAAAGTTTATTCTTGCCTGTTTCTTATCGATGGAGTCAAATCCAGCAATTTTGTTTCCCTTGGTATCAATTAGTGATCCCATAGGCTCACAAGCAATAATGTCACACATCTGCTTAGGCAAGGGAAGAAGTTGACGAACTTTGTCAATACTTTCTGAACACTTATCTCCCAGTTCTTTCTGCAAGGGGGTAAAAAGGACAAATGTTAAGGAAGCATTTCAAAATTGCAGACCAGAAATGTTTCATTATGAGTCATTTCCCTGTACTTTTACTATTTTTATTCCGCAGTCTTCGCTGTGCCTTAAAATGTGCTTTATAAGCTATTTCCGCTCATCTGATGGGACCCCCTCCCAAAAAATCTAACTATAGAAATCTGCATTGAATGTTGATGTAGAAGCCTAAAGAACAGATGAGCAATGGTGTCAAGGGGCGGGGAATCATCTGCAGTTTTAGCATATCATATTGGGCCAAGCCAGAGAACCATGGACAGAAAGCTATTGTGTATATCAAGTCAAGGCATTTGTCCAGCTAACCCAGAATTGCCTACTCTGACTTGCTGTGGTTCTACATATTCTTTGGGCATTGAACCTGGGACGATTTCCTTGCAAGGCATGAGCTATTGTTGTCATCCAAATACCACATGTGTGATAAACAGTGCCTAACAGGCAAAGGGGCATACACTCCTATTTGGAGGAATCCCAGTTACAAAA